AATAGACCCGAATCGGACCTTTTAATAACACTAGACCCGAGGACATAGATTAATAAAACTTCAACAATTCATTTAATTTAACTTTATTTTGAAAATAAAAATACTTTTGAAATAGCAAAAAATTTCTGAACTATATAATCTTTCTTCTTTGAAATTCAATAGAAAAATCGTTTTTGATTTTTTTTTAAAAAAAATATCTTATATTCTGTTATAAATCCATAGCTCTTAGTATTTTTTTATTCTGAGCGTTTCACATTTTATTCTGCGCGAAATAATATGACTCTTAAAAAAAATCAATTATTACCGAAAGACTTTTTATCATCTTATTTTTTAATGATCAGCATCGGGCCTTTTAAGCCCAGCCCGGTCCAAATATTTTTTTTGAAAATTTTTTCAATAAAATTTGTCGGCCCGGCCCGAACTTATTTAAATATAGAAATTAATTTTTATAATTTCTCAAAATAAAAGACATATGGTATATGGCGTCTAGTTATAAATTTTTATTTTTATTTTAATTAAAAATTCAATATTAAAATTGATAAATTTAAATCTATTTAAAAAAGTTCCCGGACCGATTTTTATTTAAAAATATTAAGCCCGACCCGGCCCGAACCCGGTTTTTTAAAAAAAATGGACGGGCCTACTTTTGCAGATCTCTATAATTTTTATTGATTTTATTTAACCTTTTTCCTTTGTATTTTTCCCCAAATTTTTAATTGAAATTTGAAGAAAATTATGACATTTTTTTAAAATGATAAAGATTAAAGTTTATAAATATTATGTCAATAAGAAAGATACGATAATGATGTAGATAAACTGTTCATCTCTTTACTTTATCGTTTTATGAGACATCGTCCAAATTATAAAATATTTTATCTCTCCACCCCCCCCCCCCTTTGAACTTTTATCTCTTAAAAGATAAAAAAAAAAAATGGCTATTCTAAATTTACCTCAATTCAAAAATGTAGGTACATCTACACGGACGAAATAAATCTAGAAGAGACCTTAAATCTTCCGGAACTGATTAATCTTTTGTACGCTTCTAAAAAATACATGTTAACCGCCTTGCAATACAGATGCGTCAAGTACGTAAACGACAATATTGATCGATCCAATGTCATCGACGTTTACCTGTCTACCTCAATTCACCCCGAGATTGATAAATCAAAATGTTTAGAAGTTTGGATTTTTATAAACGAATTATTCGACATTCAATTTGACGTATACGAATAAGAAAAAAATATTATTCGTGCGAATTATGCGAAATTATTTCGCAATAATTGAACATGTCCCGAAAATGTATTTTCAAAATAAAAATGGCGTCAAAAAAATTTAAAATTCTCTAAATTCGAATCTGATAAACAATCACCCCTTTTCCTTTAAAACCTGTTAAGCACTGCTCAGCAGAAGTACTAGAGGGAAGAGGGGCATTATATTTTGTATAAATATTTTTTTTAAATCATTATTTTATCCAATATATTTATTTTAATATTATAATCGATTTGATTGACACCAAAATAAATCTTCTAAATCATTGATAGGCATCATTAGAAGGCTCTATAACCTGAAATATATTTATTTCGAAAAATTAACTTGATATTTCCTTTTCTGAATCATTAGCGCAATTATATCACATGAATATTAAGATCTTATAATTTTTCGCTAAATAACTGTGGTATTTGAACAAATTAGATATCTTCCCGATTTTTAATTAAAACTATCAGTCATATTTATATACATATTTTGTTTGTTCCATAAAGACTTACACTTTTGATAAGAGTATGTTTTAAGCATCAACTGTGGCCACTAAATTAATATTGTGGCAGGCACATCTTAAATCCTACGGTAGAAAATGATAACCTTCTACTCTGTTAATAAGGATATCATTGATATCCACATCTTAAAAATTTTCACTTATTTTAGAACTTTTGTCCTCATACATTCTAAAAAAATATATAGAAAGTTATATATAATTTTAAAATGATTAATTTGAAATAACCTTGAAAGCCTTTACAAAATTTCTATCATTGTTAGTAATGGTTTTTATTGAATTCTGGATATTAAACCTCTATCTTTTTTGTATATCAATTATAATCTTGACCAAAAATATTAAAAGTATGCTTACCTTCAACACATTTTAAGGCTAAGGCTGCAGACCTTCGTTGCAATGATTTCAAGTCGATCCAATGAGCTGCAGCATCTTTGAAAGTTTTTTCATTAAGATCCACCTCTTTTTAGAAGAGAAATCTATTTAAGATAGGATGCGGGAATGAAAATTTTATTTCATCCAATCAACACTATGGTCTGCCATGTTTTATGTATTGAAAAAGACAAACTATAAAATATAATTAGCAACTCGGCTCAATATTTAATATATAAATAGTTTCATAAAATATTGTATATTCATTCAACAATATACATTTATCATTAAGATTTTTAAAAGAAGCTAACTCCTTTCCTATTTTTTAAAAAATAAGCGGCATTCTTTGACTTCTAGTTAGAAAAGCCAAACAGTCATTTGATGGCGAAATGATTTTTGTTCAATTAAATGAAGAATTCATTTGTAAAGGGGCATTATTTTGAGTTCTCCTGGGTGAGCAATTTACTCAATATCCCAAGTGTACGATGAGCCCAAATATCCGCATTTAAATAATTTGGATGACTTTATTACAATTCAACAAAGGTCTGGAAGTCGGATTTATTTAATCATATTATATTATAATATTATGGATATAGCTAGCAATATTGTATTCTTGGATTATCTACCAAATAATTATGGAAAAAAAAAATAACTCTAGAAATTTAATCAAAAATCTTGGTTAAGTTGATGCAAATAAAAATATAAATAATTAAATACAAGGTAATTAATTCAGACAGCAATCAAAATTTATATTACGTGTCCAAAATGTATGGAAACCTAATAGATTTATTATTTTCTAATATTAAATATATCAATTTTTATTTTTAATTCAATGTAATTTATTTATATTTAAAAAAAATTATGCCATTTTTTCACTTTGATAATTTTATATATTTATTGTCTAATTTTAATATTATAAATAAATTTAATTTCTACTCATTACAAAGAAAATTATTATAATTTTAAAATATACAAATTCCTAGTTAAAACTTGCATTATTATGGAAAACAGTCAATAGGTAGGGTAAATTTTTTTTGCTCCTAAATGTAAATAAAAGTTATGGAATATGTAAAAATGACTATTTAAAAAATAAATTAAGGCTCTCAGAAAAATGACGAGAAATGTTTTTGACTCCATCGATTTCCTAAACGCTGATTCCGAATTGGTGCAAGCCTTCATAACTCACGAGTATGTTAAACCGCTAACACCCATGATATTGGAATTCCTTCTCAAGTGGGCTCAAAATCGATGCGCCGTTTATTGCAAACCCGTTACTTCGGAAAACGTTATAAATACTCTGAACGAAAGTGGTTTCAAAGTTATGACCTACATAGAGAACTTGAATTTTCTAGACTTCCAGGAAATCGTAGTGAAACGAAAATTATTGAGCGAGAGTGTTCTGATGGAGGTATTTTCCGCCAGGATTCGTAGCTTGGAAATCGATGGTTATAAGCCAGACATGATGAACCTCGAAATTTCACTGCACTGTCATAAGTTTGGTGTAAAGTCATCCTTGCTTAACACCTTCCCAACTCATTTAGATGTATGTAAACAGATATACCTAGTTAGGCTTGGTATTAATTGTGGCTATAACGGTAGAATAATTATAACAGTCAAAGATGGCGATCAAATTTGTCTTAAGCAAGAAATTAATCTTTCTACAGCTTTTGTACCACCCACTATAAAAAATTCAAATATACATTCTTCATATCATTTTGCACTACCTCTAATACCCCTATACCAATCTCACCATTGTATCATGAATTTTAGGGAAGGTGCTTCAACTAGCACTGTGACGTGGAACGGAGAAGCTTTAAAAATTATCTCAGGTTCTCTAGATCCTATGTTAAATGAACTCTTTTACATTTGATATGTTATTTCAAATTTCATAATACACCCTTCAGAACTTATACTAATCATTTATGTCTACTTGTTCAAATAGGATTTATAAATAAATTCATTAAAAAATTATAAATTTAACATTAAGATATTATTAAAGTAATAAATTCAAAATTATGTTATAAATTTTTAGCGATTTAAATTTGTGGCAATAAAAAAAAATATCATTTTTATTAATGACTCGACTAGTAAAGGTTTTATGATCCTAACCATTAATCTTTCTATTTATTCTTAATATCAATCCTAAATTTATAGGAGCGGTGGCCTAACAGGAATTACAGTTGTGAAGGTTTTTCATAAAATGGGATTCTGGTAACGGTTTTTAGATTATCAGAGATTCAGGTTCTTTCTAATTCCGGTGTCGTACTCGTATTCCGTTTTAGCAATGAAAGTTTCGAAAAAATTTTTAACAATAAAACAGGGATACGAATCGTAGGAAAGATAGACTTAAGTTCTGACAAAAATCACGGTTCAGATTCGATTGGTAAAATATATGGCTATGCCAATATTTAATATCAGATCGTCACAGATATTTTGCGTTTTCAAAAAATATCAGATATGGGCCGATCTTTTAAAAAAAACGATCCGATATTTTTTATATTTTTGGGTTTATTTTAAAAATATATATTTTTTTTAAATAAATCACTTTTCTCTTTAAAAAAAAAATCACTTCTTTTTGGTGGATTATTTTAGATATGATAATATTTTTTTTTATTTCGATAGAGAATATTTAAAATATATATTTTGGAGATATTAAAATAAAAAGAGAAATAACGAGAAAAAACCTTAGTCGCATAATTTGTGACATTCAAAACGTTAAGAAAATAGTTATCCATCATTACTATACTAATTGAAATTGAATACTAAGTTTATGTTTTAAATACAAATAAATTTTATAAAAAAAATTAACATCAGCAATTTCGTCTCTTTTGTAATTTTCGTAACATTTTACCTCAATGATATGCACAACTCTTTAAACTTTCTATGTTATGCTGACGACGTATGTATTCTAGCCAACTCAGAATACAAATTAAGAAATATTTTATCATTATTTGTCAACAACTGTGATGGATATGGTTTAAGAGTTAACTACACAAAAACCAAACTGATCACCTCAAATACCGATGCGAGTCACTTAAACCCCTTTAACTTTGAGGGTAATACGATAGAATTAGTGTCAGATTTTAAATACCTAGGAAACAGGATAACGTCATTAGGCCTCACTTTTTTAGATACGAAATCGAGAACGAATAATGCTAGACTCCACCAGCGTCTACATGACAGATTTTCACTGGATGCAAATCCCCTTCAAAAACCTTTACCTACCCCCTAAAAAACTCCCGCCCCCTTCGGCGGCTATGTCTCTTTATCAATATTTTCACCTATTTATTTATTTATACTCTTTTCAAATAATTTATAAAGGATAACTTAAATTAATATATCTCTACTACCAACTATCGATATTTTGTGAGTATAAAGAATTTATTTTTTAGATAATAAATTTAATTAAAACCTCCATTATTTACAATGAATTAATTATTATGGCATTATGAGCTTGCTGAAATATCTAAACCTTTTAAATTATATTTAAAAGGATAGTTTATTTGGAAAACAATGTGTATGATTGTTTGCAATATATAGATTTGGTCGATGAATTGTATTATAATAATCAGAGACCTGCAGGCCCGGCCGTATTTTAAATTTTTTAAATATACCCGGGCCGGGCCTAAAAAATTTTTTTTAAATATATCCGGGCCGGGCCTAAGATTGCTAAACCCGGGCCGGGCCTTAATATTTTTTATAAAAATTTTTACATTATGAGTTAATGGTTATAAGATTATATAATATTATAGTTATGATTAATATAATATTGGGTGATGGTTAACACTACCTTACACCCACTAATCGATCTAATTATTAATTTCCTGCAAATTTATTCAAAGTATTAATATATTTTTTTATAATTCATATCTAAATTTTTACAACTATTTTACCAAAACATAAAATAAAGGAATATCTTAAATAAGCCCCAATATTCAAGTATTATTAATATATTTTTTTATAATTCATATCTAAATTTTTAGAATATATTTTATTAAAACAATCAAATAAAGGAATATCACTTCTTGAAATTTGTAATACTTTTCAAAGCGAAAAAGGAGAAATAAAATTGATTTTACTTAATATAAAGCATTTTTTAATTGAAAAATTTGTTTTACACAAGTATCATTTTATTTCTCTTTTTCTCTGTCCCAAATTCAAGCAATTACGTATGTGTCAGGGACAGATCGCAAGATGACGGAAAACTATATAAAAGATTTTATTAAATTACAAGAGGCTCGGGAAGCAAATGAAATACCATCGACCAGTCAAATTACGACTGTTGTTAAACTGAATCGTTTTATGACAAATGGGGCGATGGTAATTCTGGTAATATGTCCGTACCCGATGATGAATATTATAATTACATAAATAAAAAAATAGATGAAACATTTAAGGTGGATAATTTGTTAGAGTGGTGGGCTGCTCATCAAAGCGAATTTCCAATTTTAGCAAAATTGGCAAATCGGGTAGGCAATTCCTGCTTCAAGTGCAAGCTGTGAGCGAAATTTTTCCACTACTGGGAGAATTCTTGAAGAAAGAAGAAGTAATCTTCAACCTTAAAAGGTAGATATGCTTCTCTATCTTCATGATAATTTGTTAATTTTTAATATCTTTTTTGAGTATAGGGTTTCGTCAATCATATTGGTTTTTTACTTTGCAAACTGTAAATATTTATTGCATTTATTATATTTTACCTTGAGTCATGAAAGTTTTTAATCCAACATTTTTCATTATTTTTTTTTACAATATTATAGTTAAAAATTTATATTATAAAATAAATTATATTAATATTGTGCAATTAGATTATATTTTCAAAATACTATTTATTATACATGCATTTTTTTAAATAGCGATTTATTTTTATTTTATAAATTAAATAGTAAATTAAATACAATATATTATATTCTCAAAATATTTTCTATTTTTATAAATTAAATATTAGTTTTATTTTTTTTAAATGCAATATAAAATATAGTATATGCTCAAAATATTATTACCATTTTTATGAATATTAGTTTTATTTTTATAAATGCAATATAAAATATAGTATATGCTCAAAATATCCATTTTTATAAATAACAGTTTTATAATTTTTATAAATTCAATATAATATTCTCAAAATATTAGCTTTTTACATGTATTTTTTTAAATAATTATAAATAATACTCGCTGAAAAATATGGTAAAATACCTCATAGGTGAATTTTTGTATATACCAGGTCGAATATAATTTTAAAAAATTCCGAGCCAGGCCTGAAAATTTTTTTTAAAAAATATCCGGGCCGGTGTAATATTGTAGAAACAATACCATCTAAAATCAATACGGTATTGATTCTACAATATTGTAAAAACAATACGGTATTGATAATTTATGACCGAACCTCAGCTTTTACGAATCAAATTGAATTTTTTTAAGAATACCGTATACAAATTGTTACTACCGTTTACAATTGAAATTTTTTAAGAATATTGTATACAAATTGTTACTACCGTTTACAAATTTTTGAATATCCATATATAGAAACAGGAGAACAATCAAATTGAAATTTTTATACAAATTGTTACTACCGTTTACAAATTTTTGAATATCCATATATAGAAACAGGAGAACAAATTAGTACACAGGAGAACAAATTAGTATATTTAAATTATAATTATAAATTTATATCAATTAATATAGATACAGGAGAACAAATTAGTACATTTAAATTATAATTTTATATTTATATCCATTAAAATACTAAAATAGAGTTTACAAATTACTACTTATATAGAAACACAAAATTTTTCATGAATCAAATAGGTACATTTAAATTATAATTATACATTTATATCAAGCATTAACAGAAAAATATAATACAATAAAGGAATATTTAGTTACAGGAAAGTATCCTATATTTCTTAAAAACCATCCAGGGAAAAAAAGTAATTATAAATGCATGGCAAGCAAATTTATTGTTAAAGATGATGTTCTTTACAGAAAAATAAAGAATAAAGAAAGTAAATATGATCACAAAATAATCATTTTCTATTTATTTTTTAGCTTTAGTAATAATGGAAGAAGAAGAGAAACAAAGAGTAATATCTATTATTCACCAAGGATCAGATATATCCTTAGAGTCTAAAGCTATTGGTGCCCACCTAGGTATTAATAAAACTCAACTTAAACTCTCTGAAAGGTACTTATTATGATGTTAGAATTCTTAATTTTGTGTTTATAGATATTGGTGGCCAAAATTATTTCAAGACACTATTGATTTTATAAAATCATGTGATAGATGTCAGAAGGCTAATGTAAGATTTACCAAAATTTCTTCCACTTTGCATCCAATAGATGTACCACCTTTTCCATGGGCTCAAATAGGAATTGATCTTTGCAGCCTGCCCACTTCAGAAGAAGGCTACACGTGTATTGCAGTTGCCTCTGATTATTTCACAAAATGGGTTGAGGCAGAACCCATGAAATCCAAAACAGCCAATGAGACATGTAAATTTATATACGGTCTGATTTGCCGCCATGGCTGCGCAAATGTAAATCAAATTATATAAATACATATCGATTAAAAAATATGAATTATGATAATTCTATCTTATAAACTTTTCATTTTATACAATATAGATACAAATCAATGATCAAGGAAGAGAGTTTGTAAATGAGATGGCTACTAGACTGCATAAAATGACCGGGACAGAGCAACGCATTTGCAGTGCGTACCATCCTCAAGCTAATGGCTTAACTGAGAGAAATAATCGCACTATTCAAAACCTAATGTTAAAGGTTTTAGGAAATGATCAGACCCAGTGGCCTAAAGTTCTTCCAGGTGTACTGTTTGCAATGAGAACAAGTGTACACAAATCAACAGGATTTACCCCATTTTATATGTTATATGGTCGGAATGCAAAGCTTCCATCAGACTTAAATTCCACAACTAAGCCTGATATTGTTAAGGAAATAAATAATGATCCTGAAAGCTCTTATGTAAATAATATTGATAATGACTTTGACGAGAGTGAATTGTTAAATAGAATAATGAGCATGTCAGTCGTATGGAAAAAGGCGAAAGAAAATATAATTGTTGCCCAAGATAGACAAAAAAGAGATTATCAAAAAAGGCAAAAGGATAAAATATCGTATGAAGTTGGACAACTGGTCCTAATCTGGAACTCCCGTCGTGCGGATCGAAAGGGTGGAAAAATGTCTGATCCTTGGCTTGGTCCATATGTAATTGATAAAATACATGATAAAGATATTTATAGTGTGAGTAATAAAGATAATACTCCATTAAAGCAAAAATATAACGGGTGTAACCTTAAGCCCTACATCCAACAATCTAATAACGGAGATGAGGCAAAAGAAGATTCTACCGATATTAAGATAATATTATATAAGGAGCCTGATACTTCTCCGTTACCTTACCTTGCCACCAATTATGCATGGAAGAAATATCATGCTAAGAGGTTGGGCATCCCATATTCTTTATTAACAGAAAGCAATGATAAAACTAAAAATTTAAGTTATCCTCCTAATTTTGAGATAGTTCTTGGTGACGGTAATTGTTTTTATCGGTGCTTAAGCAAAGAAATCTCAGGGAGTGAAGATCACCATGCAATTATAAGGGGGTCTATTACCTCTTATATGATGCATTTTGAAAATAAAGATATTTTTAGTGATTTTATTGGAAAAGATATAATCACACATATAGTTGATACAAAAAAATATCAACTTGGAACGTGGGCAGATGAACTAGATATTGTAGCATCTGCCACATTTTTTCAAACACCTATCATTATATATTGCAAAAATGGAAATGAGATGAAATACATTACATACTCCTCATTATTAAAAAATAACTGTATAAAAAATTTTAATTTAAATATATATTTAATAATTGCGACTTCTGATCATTTTAATCGTGTTATAATATAATATATACTCAATTTGTAATAATCATGTTTCCGTTATTGGGATATATTTTCTTTTTATAATATTTTTCTTGTATTTTTGAAATAAAATGATATATCCTTTTTATTTATATAGTATTAAGAAATCAGTCTTTTATTGCAATAAAAAATATATATACAACTAAAAATAGTTATTACAGTTTAAAAGAATAATATAAAACATAATTTGATTTTATAAAATATTTTGTGTTCCATAAATATAAATGTAATTTTAATCAGATAGAAATAAAATTATATATGCATCTAAAAAATGAAATGACGATTAAGAAGCCAACAGGAAATGATTAAAACATATTTCAGTAATAGATATTTATTGAGATGCTTTGACTTAATTTAGCTTTTGTCTATTAAAATTTTAAGGCTTGAGATAGGAATGAAGATTTTAAGATGAGCCAACAGGCAATGATCGCATAATAATAGTGATAGAGATAATGATTGAGATCCTTTGTTGTAATAGAAACCCTCATATCTGTGATTAGCTTAAGCTTGTTTATTAAAATTTTAAGGCTTGATCCCAATAATAAGATGGTAAATGAAGAAAATTTGTGTACATTGTTCTTAATTACAATTTTCTACAGGATGGAGTTGAACAAACAATATCATTTTAACCATAAGGAGAAAATTAATAAATATGAGTAAAAAAATAAAAATATACAGGATATAAAGAATAGTAAAATATAAATTCCTTAAAAAAATTATATAAAAGAATAGAAAATCATTTAAATATATTTTAACTATTAAATATATAAAATATATTTTTTACAAATCTAAAATGGCCGTCAATATTTTTGACGCGATTAAAAAATAAATATTTTACAATATGACAATTGTCACTTTTGGTACATCTTCACTGAAATTAATTTAACATGTTTACAATATATATTTTAATCTATGTAATTCAAAAAATTTCAAAAAAGTTAAATCTATTTAAAATAAATATTTTACAAATCGAAAATGGCCGCCAATATTTTTGAAGCGATGAAAAGAATATATAATAATAAATATTTTACAATTTTAATGGCCGCCAACATATTTGAAGCGAAAATTAAATGTATAATAATAAATATTTTAAAATTTTAATGGCCGCCAACATATTTGAAGCGATAATTAAATGTATAATAATAAATATTTTACAATTTTAATGGCCGCCAATATATTTGAAGCGATGAAAACGTATTTTAAAACCAATACGGTATTGATTCTACAATATTGTAAAAACAATACGGTATTGAATCTACAATGATAATTCAATACGGTATTGAAACTACAATGGGTATTGCTTTCACAATCCTACACCGGGCCTTAAAGCGATGGAAGCAAAATACCCCATGAAAAATACCCCCCTCCCCTTCGGAAAAATGGGTTATTATTTTTTGACACCCATAAGTTTCAAAATAATTATAATTGCATAATCTTTAATATATAATATAAATATGCATAATCTTTAATATATAATATAAATAAATAACATACCTAAAATAATTTGGTTATGGATGGGTGTAGCAAAACAATAAAAAATTAAATTTAAAAAAAAGGTACCCCCACTCAAATTTTTACAAGCAGTATGAAGAATTAATGCCCAAGCATAAAAATTTTACACGGGAGATAGTTTCACTTTGTACCAATGTGTCTTATTACATAGGTATAGATTTTTTTGGGAAAGGTAGGATTTAAACTTTAATTTGGACTAGTTAAAATTTCTGTCATTACTGAACTCAAACATCTGTGGCAATTATTAAAGATGTGCGTTGCCATATCGCCCTCAATTAATTAAAGATATATCCTTGTATTCTCTTTTCATCATAAAAAATTTTTATTTTTAAAATCTTTTGTAATATTTAAACATGAAATTTAAGCTTATTTAATTGCTTTCCATTTTTTAAGTTTAATATGTTTATTATATAAAATGTTTGTTTGTTCACTCACTTTTGTTGTATATCTAATAACACATATAACCTCGTAAAAAAAAATCTAACATAATTTTATACAATTACCTTCTCATCTGGCAGGTAATATGATAGGCGCAACGTCTACATGACAGAATTTTCACTGGATGCAAACCCCCTTCAAAAACCTTTACCAACCCACCTAAAAATATTTGCAGCCTTCGGCGGCGCTGTTTCCCCATTCTTATTTCCATCTTTTTAATTATAATGATACTCTTTTCAGAGAATTTATAAAGGATAACTTAAATACTATCGATATTTTGTAAATATATAGGATATTTTTAGATAATTCAATTAAACCTCCATTATTTACAATGAATTCATTATTATAACATTATGAGCTTGCTGAAATATCTAAACCTTTTAAATTACATTTAAAAGGATAGCAGAAAGTTTTATTTGAAAAACAATGTGTATGATTGTTTGCAATATATAGATTTGGTCGATGAATTGTATTATAATAGTTCTATAATAAAATTATTAATTTTTACAGCAATAAATGTTGTCCTATTTCATCTCAAAATTTTCCTACCCCCATTAAAGCCGCCTACCCCCTACCCTCCTCAAAAAAAAAATAGGATGCAAACTGTTCATATCCCGCTCATGTAGACGCTGGATAGACGTACGTACGTTTTATTTTATCATAAGCTCTATTTGCAACATGTCTATGTCAAATATTGAAATCAACTTTATTCGTCTTATGCAAGTTTGTGAGAATATGGTATCAGCTCAAAATTATAATCAATGGAGATTTAAATCGGTAATTTTATAGCTTATTTATGATGATTGATTGATAAGTTTAGTATATAGATTCATTGGAATTATACCTACAACAGTTAATGACAATATCAACATTGTAATTTTAACTTCGATTGAAATCATATATTTTATCATAGTCAACCCCCAAAAGAAAATATTAAAGAGTACAATACTAAACTAAGTTACCTAAAATCTTTGATTAAGGCTTCAAGCTTACCACCAATTTGTTTGAGCAATGTGGTACAAATTATTATACAATTTTTATTCCAATATTTAAGGTTAGGAAACATGTGATGATTCAGAAAGTTTTTCAAAATCAATGATTGGTATTAATATACCAGAAAATGAGGTTAACATAGCATATCCTAAAAACTCAACAACATCCGTTAAACAATTATATGTTTTAATGTCTTCTGAAAAAGAAAATAACCTTAGAGCACGCCTTTTATCAAAATGTATCTTTAATTTTTTATTAATTTTATTTAAGAAATTTAAGCTAATGCTTATGACAATGATATTGACTTAGATGATATTGATAAAATTGCATTTCTTAAAACTAATTCCAAAATTCAGGAGGCTCTATCAGAACAAATGGTTGATTTGGTTAAAAATTTAAAAAATAATGTTAGTCTAGCTTCAACTATTATTAAAAAAGATAACAAGGTGATATATGTTATATTTAAATAAATGTTTTATTCATATCAGGTCTTATTTCAATCAACAAATCTTCAAGCCAAAAATTTAGAAAAATTGAAAGGTGTAAGTGATCAATTAGATATCACAAAAACTAAAGCAAATCCTTGTTGGGTTTGGTTCATTTTAATATTAGTATTTGCTATATTTTTTTGGATGCTTATATTTATGAAACTTTTTTCAAAATAAAATGTATGTGAGGTAGATATATATGTGAAAAAATTAATGATACATTTTATTTTGTTGTACCATAAAAAAAATGTAGTTTAATCTTAAATTAGATATTATGATTTTTCCTTCACAAAAAATAATTATGGGCTTAGCTAAATTAATTTAACCTGTGTAAAAAAAATTGGTGGGGTCCAGGCTTTGCTAATCTCTAGGAGTTTGAAATAGGAGTGGGGGGTGGTTAATTTAAATTAATGATGGAGGGTCATTCCATATCAAATCAATCACTTTACAACCAGACCATCTCAAATTTTGCTGAAATTTGGTATATGTTAATGAAGTGTTATAATTGACGAATCCAAAATATTAGCCCCTTAACTACTAGAACCGGAGTATAGGGTCTCAAAGTAGCTCTGCGAGGTCATTTTTCGAAAAAAATGATTTTTTATGGAATTTTTATTTTATAAATTTTTTTTAAAATTGCGGTCAAAATTTGTAATTAATTTTTTTAAATGTTAGTATAAATTTTATAAAGAGTATCAAGAATTGTTCATATAAAAATTTTCAGAGTGGTAAAAAAAGAATTAAGTATAAAAAAAACCGCTAGATGGCGTTAATAATTTTAAATAGCTTAAAATTTACATTTTTAAAATATAAGTCAATCTACCTTTTATTTATATCCTATAATATAATATTTGTTGAATAAAATGGCATTTCGGCACAAAAATAAAAATTCCGCTAGATAGCGCAAATATTCCTAAAATAGATAAATATGATTTAAATTAATTATCTATATTACAAAGTTAATAACTCATTGAATCATAAGTTATGTTGCCATATCCGAGTCGCTGGAACATAATACGTGCTTATCTCATTTATTTCAAAAAAAAATACTTTTTATCAGAGCCTAAATACATTTATTATTCCGACAGGTCCGCGGCCCAATATAAAAACAGGAAAAATTTTATAACCTTGTGTTATCATCAGGTAGACTTCGCTATCTCAGTAGAATGGCATTTCTTTGCTACTGCGCATGGGAAAGTGCCTGCGATGGAATAGAAGGAAATGTGAAACGCTTGGCTGCACGGGCCAGTTTACAACTGCCTTATGAAAATCAAATAAAATCTTGCGATTTCTTCAAATTCGCTCAGGAAAACATAAAAAATATTCATTTTTCTTATACATCCCATGAAGAATGCCAGGAGGAGAAAGAATTTTTAAAAGATCTGTTTTCAAAAGCTCTTTCCATTCCTGGAACTCATCCATCTAATTGGAACTAATTTAATTTCGGTATATAAGTAAAATTATGAGGAGTCCTCCACACGTTTGTGGGCAAGCCGCACGTATTTATAGGCGCAACATTTTAAAAAATGTTATTTAAACCTATATAGGCTTATTAAAAAGGAGTTGGGTATAAAAAGAGCCTATACCCGAGAACTGCAATATAATTTAATTATTTTAAGGGTCCGTGGTGGCTGATTTTAAGTTTAAATTCTGTGTAAGTCATAAAGATTACTATCAATATTGAGATTTAATGTTCATAGAATCTGTAAAATAAAGATATAATTAAATAAAAATTTTTAGTATGATATAGTATTATTTTTTATTAATGATTCAACCCATACAATAGTACTATCACTTTAAAATTTTTACACCGGATGTTTACATTAAAAAATAATTATGTGAATGAATGAAATAAAATTTTATATATTCTATCTAATGACCAAATATATAATTAAACAATATTTTAATTTATTAATATTTCTAATATATAACATTTCACACTTTTTTTAAAATATTCCTCGATGTAATTTGAAATGAGCGGTCATCGTATAGTTTTGTCCAATTCATTGTTTAGCGTTATTGCCATTGTAGTTCTTGCATAAGTCATATCTTTTTCGTTGGTTTGTTCTAATCGTTAACTTGTTACCTATTATCTCATTAGCTTGTTGATCTCGTTATTCATTATCATTTGTACTTATTATCATTGTTTGATTATTTCTCAAATAAAATAAATTTGGAATAATTGAAATAAGAATTGATCAATTAATGAATAATGGAATAAATAATTTTTATCGGAATAATATATAGAATATGGGTAACAATTATATATTGCAGTGGCATATTTTTTCAAATGGAAGGTTGGGGCATTTTTTTTGGGGGGGGGGGGCATCGCTCGACAGCTCCCCGCGGCATTTGGCCGGGTCATATGTTTGAGCTATTCCATTAATTATTCATAATTCAATAATAATTATATTAATATTTTTAACTTTTATTTACTAATTCGCGTTTATGGATATTTAAAGAAGAAATAAAGGTTATAACCCAATTTTTATTATTTTAAGTTAGGTATATTATATTTAATAAAAAAAATTTTTAAATGTAAAATTGAAATAAAGTTAAGTGTCATTTTTTTTATATAATTTGCTTTAAAAACTAGCCTCAGCTTAAATTCTCGTACAATATAAGTAGAAAATTTTTTTTATTGAAATTATAACTTATTATCATATACAATATTATACAAAATATTTATTAAATACTATAATTATAGTGTGATTTTTTATTTTCTTGGGAAATTTGCCAATTCATCAAGAATTTCGTTTATCTTTGGCAGTTTCTACATGGCCGAGGTGGGTAGGAGACAAATATATCTAAAATATATTGGCATTTTGAGAAGTTATAGATTTTTTGGAGTATATATTTTTTTGAGGGGGTAGACATTAATTTTTGACTTGAATTGTATTTTTTTTAAAATTCAATATTTGATACGATTATGATGTTTATCGTTAATTTTATTCTGACAATGTCAATTAAAAAGAGATAAAAAAAACTATAAATTTTCTCTCTTTGAATATGAAGCCTTTTTATTCAATAATATTTTACAATATCACAAGTAATATATTAATATTAATCCTATTTGTTAATTTTCTAAAAGTATAGAGGTTGACATATATGATTAAATTTAATAATAAATTTCAGTTAGAATACAATAAATCATTTAAAATTTTAGCAAAATACTTTAAATATTATTATTAAAAATAAGATTTTCAATAGGTAAATAAATTTTAACTATATTCTATATTTAATAATTAGCAAAGATCCAAAGTATTTATGATTTACAGATTATATTTTCTTCTCATTCAATATCAATCTCAATAGAGTGACCCAAATAACTTTGCAATTGCCGATATATTAGCAAAAATTTAAGTTTTAATTGTTTTTTATAGCCTAAATATAACTGAAAGGAAGTAAATAAAATTTTGTTGTGAGATTAAAAATGGTATCTTGTTTTAAGATTCTTTTCATTAGGTCACTAAGTAGTTGGGGGGGGGGGTAGATTTTTTAAGGGGGTTTGCCTCCATCAAATTTTCTGCCATGTAGACGCTGGTCGTTGGAACTAAATATCTGGATATTTAACAGAGCTAACTAGCCGAGATTCGGAAGTAGTATTTTGTAGATATGTTTTGAGTATAGATGTATCCCAGGAAAATTGGTTCAGGGGAAATTTTCCCGGGAAAAATTGAAAATTGGGGGAAAAAACGGGAAATAACGGAAAATTAAAAAATAACCACAAAATATACTTTAAACCTTTCAATTTTTTTTATGAAATAACTTTATTAAATTTGAGGAACTAAGGGAAAATAATATAATTAAACAATAAAGACAAAAATAAATACACTATAAACATCATTTTTTGAATAACTTTATTAATTACAAAAGGCATGTATCAGAAATTATATTTAAAATTCTTGGGATGCTAATGAAATAGCATCAATATCTTCATGGGATGAAATTGAAATATCATCATTATCACTTGATATTGATAAATCGGAATCTGAACTCTTTTGATGATATCCCGAACTTGATGTATTTGTATGATCCTTTAAATGTATGTTATGCCTTATTGATATTAATTTTTCGACTCTTTCATTCTTTATTCTATTTCTCGTTTTTGAATGAATTTTTCCAAATGCTTACCAGACACGTTCTGGCAGGGCACTTGAGGGTGGTATCGAAAGACATTTTACCGCCACTTGACAAAGGGGTTGATTTGTACACAACCCTTTCCACCATATGAGTGGTTTGGTATGGATTGAGCTCTCCCATATGCCAGCTCCTTTATAGAAACCTTGTTTTGAACGATATTCTGCTAAATTACCCATAATTTTTAAAATATCGCAATTAATTTGGCCTGAAATAATATTTATTATATTTAAAGCTGCTGTTAATTCACGGTCTGTTAATTTCACACCATAATATCGAGGATCCAGAATTCAACAGATACTTGCAAATCAAACCTCATTATTTAATGAAATTATATCTATGAAAATTGATTTGTTTTTTTTGTAATTCTATTTATTTATATATAATAAAGTTATATTATTCCATATTCTAGTGTCCATTTTTGAAAAATATAATTAAAATTATTTTATTAAATAAGACATTTAATACTCTTATTATGATGTACATTTTCATAATTAAAGATTGAAAAATGTAATTAAAATTATTTTGTAAAATATATATAAATAAGCAACTATTCAAAATTTATTTAGCAATTATTAGGTAGATTTAATCAAATTATATCATAAATTTGAAATTTGATTAGCAATATTTCTAAATCTATTTATTTTTATATCTAGTGTCTTGAAAAAAACATAAAATATATAAATATGCAAACTATTCAAAATTTATTTCACATTTTTATTAAAATATATAGATTATTATAAATATATAAATTAAGGTAGGATAAACAAAGAAACATTTATATACATATGTTTTCCATCCAAGGCCACAAAAAAATTGAAAACCCTGATTGAATCATAAATTCTTAGGAAATCTAAATAAACAAATATAATTAAACTTCCTTATTTTACATTAAGGTAAGAAATAAACTCTTTTTGTTTAAGAAATTATAAAAAAAACTTTAATAAAATACATACTGCTTT